GAAAGGACTGTTGAAGCTGTGCTTGAGAAGCCTTGACAAATCTGTTGATGAGATGCCTTTAGACACAAAAACTAGAAAGGACTGTTGAAACTGTGCTTGAGAAGCCTTGACAAATCTGTCGCTGAGATGCCTTTAGACACAGAAACTGGAAAGGACTGTTGAAGCTGCAGCTGTGCTTGAGAAACCTTGACAAATCTGTTGCGGAGATGCCTTTAGACACAAAAACTGGAAATTTAGGCATTTGGCTCAAGAACTTGGACACATGTTGAATGTGGCAATCTTTCGAGGTCTTGCAAGGATTGATCGGGGAGTGGGCCACCTTTCTGTTAAAGCGATGCCAATGATATCTAATGATTCTAATGAGTCAATACTTAAGTGCAACACTGAATCAGCTTCTCTGCTCGCTGTCGATGTTGTTTGCAAAGCCTTCGGATGAAGAGCTTGCATTCCAGCAACACTTGCTTGAAACATCTTGGCGCCATTGAAACATCCGTTTTTTGCAGCTGCAAGATCTCCAAAGCGCGCACCTGGCCATCTTTGGGCCATATCTTGCCTCGACACTCCCCAAAGCCTTGATGGAACCTTCGGTGGGCACCGATGCCTGGAGAATCAGAACTTCGTTCTGTTTTGCAAGGGATTTCATCTGCCTCTGGGGTTTCCGGTTGGTAGACGGAGCCACAATATCTGCAAAGGCTTAGGTTTTGCCTCAAGAGGTCCACGTCGCAAAGCCTGCTACTGCAGTTTCTGCTACACCAACTGGCAGCTTGGCAGCTTGAGTTTCAAACGGTGGACTTATCGCCGCATTGGCGCTCTTTTGCCTTAGAATTTCAAGGAGTATGCCATCAGCATCAGCTACTGTAACCAATCATGACCTGCAGGAAAGGCGCGATGAATGAGTTTTGCTCCTGCTCCCCGATTTGGGCGGCCTTATCAGGCCAAGGTGAGGCTGCACCAGCATGGAAATGCCACATACTTCGGAAACAATCAGACAATAAAAAAGGCCGACAAGGCAAACTGCATTCAACATACTTAAGCTCAAGATCAAACAACCAACGAAATCCTGCAAGAGATGACAGAGTGAATTCTCAGTCCATTGCGGGCTTGGGGTTGAAGTAACTGGCCCTGAGATTGATTTAGAATGCTCGGGCAAAGAAGTCTTCAGATCTTGCACCGAAGCAAAAAAAAACATTGACAGGAACAAACTCTCTTCACTGAAAGAGCCTTATTCACGGACAGTGAGACAAAATGATTAGCAAGTGACGGCGGAAAGGTGGCGACTGATACTTGCCTGATTCTTGTCGACTTTGTTCTTGTGCCTCGGATGCTACGATGTGCAAATGATCCCCTGAAACTGAACAAGAAAGTACTAGTAGCTTCTTATTACTAGTAGTAGTGCCAGGAGCTACTAGTAGCTTCTTGCTCCCAATGGCGATGCCCTTAGCTACTAGTAGCTTCTTATTACTAGTTGTGAAAACGCGGAATGCGAAAACGCAAGTGTCGTGAACGTCGAACCGCTCGAAGTGTTGACGTGAAAAAGAATGAATGCAATGCGGCCTTTTCTCAGGCTGGCGTAGCATGAAATGCTGTAGCTCAAGGGGCCCCTTCCGGGGATGCATGAACCACAATGCAGCGATCAGACATGATCAAAAGCTGCGGGTGCAAACAGCGAACAGAGCCACCTGGTTTTGTGGAGCGAACCTCACACTGGTGGTTGTTCAGAACCGGCGCCATTTGACCAGCGCGCTGGTGCTTCCCAGGCACGGAGCTGCTCTTTGTTCGCAGCTGCAAGGCCTTGACATTCCAAGGAGGTGTGGAATGACTTTCGCTTTGGTGGTCGACACGACTTTGGGCGTGTAGTTGTGCTCTAGCTCATTCTTCAAAATCACGAACCTCCGTTGGAGGCTTGCCCACTGGTAGTTGGACTTGCGTAGGTCTTCTTCAGCTTCTGTCAGCTGACCTTGGAGAAAGTTGATCTTGTCGATCATCTCTGTGAGCTCTTCCTCTTGCGCTGTGCACTGCGCTTGGAGGTCGAAGAGTTCAGCTTCTTGGTCTCTGGTGAGGTTCTGGAGTCTGATGTTTTCGCCCCGGAAGAAAGCGAAGAATGCTTTCAGTCTCTTGGTCGGTCTGAGTGCCGACTTGTGTAGAGCTCGAGGTGGTCATAGTCCACGTAGTCCTGGTAATCGAGGAGCTCAATGATGTAGTGATCATGAGGCCAATTCCTTTGAGGCACTGCCAAATGAACATGCCGAACAGGATGACATAGAGAGTCAGTGTCACTTCCCACCATCTTTTGTTTCGTCACCGTGACCTCGATTTTGGTGCGCTTGTCACCTTGAAGACTTGGTGTCTCAGCCTTCAAGGAGTCGTACAGGGCTTTGGCGTCCACGACCAACGCCGATGGCATCTCAGATGAAAAGCTGTCCAGCTGGCGAAGCTGGAAGTCGTGACGAACGCAGCCTTCCCAAAAGGTCAGGAGATACTCCAGGGCATCCATAGCGGCCGAACAGGCCTGGCTCTCTGCATTGAGCGAGGATCTGCTCACACGAGGCAACTTAAAGCTGCGCCAATCCAGGAATCCAGGATGATGTAGTCCTGGGTGGAGCCATCTTCCAAAATCTGTTGTTGATTGCAAAGGAAGATCACATAGCCGCCCTGCGACTCATTGTTTCTGCGCACCCCCCAAGCTGCGTCGCTCATTGCGACCATGCGTAGCTTTTCCATGTCTCCTCACTGTCTCCTCCAAGATCTCGAAAGATCCAGAGCTGCATCACCATTGGACTTGGCGAATCTGAGGACCTTGTTGGCTTGGGCAGCTGTATCACCTGTGGCTGTGGTGACCTCTCCACATAGCAAGGAGACCGAGGCACTGAGGTGTGGAGACGCTTGAGTAGCTGGCCATTGAAATGCGCCCAACAATGCTCGTAGACAGCTCTGTTCCTTCGAGTTGAAGGGGCCGACCTCAACGAAGGGCGCATGACCCTGGAGGATCGACTTTCATTCCTCGAGGGCAAGAAAGCCAGCATCTTCGAGAACGGAGTTTGGGAGATTGAGGTGGACCCGACCTCTGCAGTCGATCACGTACAACCGTGTGATGAAAGCTCGCTTTGTCCTGAAGTGGGCGTCGGATGGAAAAGGTGGCGTGAAAGCGAAGGCACGATTAGCGCTTCAAGTGTTCTCTGACCCTGACCTTCTTCAAGGGTCACTGGACATCCTCCCGACGTTGGCGCGGACCTCCCGAAAGGTTCTTCTGGCCATCAGCCAGGTCAGTCATTGGAAGAGATGGGCAGCCGACGTGTCCATTGCTTTTCTTCAAGGTGATCCACAGGAACGCACCTTGTGGGCCAAGATTCCAAAAGATGCTTGCGACATCATTGGCGTCGCGCCTGGAACCTTGCATGATGAGGCTGATTAAGCCGATCTACGACCAAGCAGACGCGCCCAGGCAATGGTTCATCGTTGCCCGCCGACGTTTGGGGAACCTTGGATCAGTGCCTCTATACATACCACCTGATCTCCATGGTCGGTCTACATGTTGACAACCTGGGTTGTGGTAAAGATGGTCACCCTGAGTACGAGCACCTCAAACTACAGTTGAAAGATGCCTTCAACTTCAAGCGTTGGACCGAAGAGAACGAGGACAAACCTCTTGAGTTTTGTGGATGTCATCTCAGCCGCACACCCACCGAGTCCAAGCTGCGCCAAGCTGAATATCTCAAAGGCGTGAAGCCTATGACCTGCATCAACTACGACTCCAGTCGTGACCTCACATTCTTCTTCTTGGGAACTCCGGCTCCAACTGCTTGCCATATGTGGCCACGGCCTCGCAAGGTCTTGCAGCGCTTGAGTTTGATATAGCGCGAGCCATACTGTTGTGCACCTTCTTGGGTGAGAGGATACAGGGTCTTTCCCGTCCAAGCTTCATTGAAGCGCTGCTCTTCTGAAGAGTTCACGTAGATGGTGCGAGTGCCTTTTTGCATCGACAAACCGGTGGTTGTTTGCAGAAGATCTTTGGAGGTGGGAAACTGCTCAGAATGATATGTGGTTGTCCTGCCCCATACATGATTTCTGACCAGCAAACCATCTTCACAACTCCACCAATCCTTTGTCTCACGAAGAACGAACTCATTGTTCTTCTCATCATAATGCCAACCCTCAGGAAGCTTGGTGGACTTGACAAAGTCAAAGGAGTGGAGGTCGACTTCGATGTTACCAGCATCGGCCTTGGCCTTCTTGCGGGCCCAGATGGTTTCTTGCTGATCAAATCGTCGTCTTCGATCTTGAAAGGTCTCTGGTGCACTTGGGGGCGCATAGGTGATGTCCACCAAAGGATTTGATGTCTCCTGAGATGACTGCCCTGGTTCTGCAGGATGATCTAGATCATCGCCCCCTGGAACTGGTGGCAAATGTGTTGGATCTGGAGGTCATTGGTGTCTCCATGTGTGAGTGTTCACCCATGGGTTCCTCATCTTCTTCTTGCAGTTCTGCCAGTGGGCGAGGATGATGTTCATCCTGTTGTGGTGGTTGTTGGATCGCCTCTGGTGGTGGTGCCAAGTCATGCGCTAGTAGCTTCTTATTACTAGTAGTAATGCCAGGAGCTACTAGTAGCTTCTTGCCCCTTCTTATTACTACAGTAGATGGACGAAACACTCTTGCAAGATCTCTAACAGTGAGCTGTGGGTTAGAAGGGGTCCACGTGGTTGAAAGGGATTGAATATTTCGCCCGTCTACGGTACTGGGTGTGAACGGCGACCGGAGATCTACAGACGCGCATGCGTGTGTTGTTTTCAAGTGATTCCGGGCAGTTCCAGCTACTGTTCTTACTGTTGCCATGTGACGCGTCTGTTCCCAGTGCCTTTTCCAGCGCCTTTTGCACTTTCTCGTGGCCCTGCCAGCAAAGATGTGCTTGTGGTAAGTTTTGTTGAAAGAAAAAGAAAAGGGAAACAGTGAGTCACATGGCAAAATCACTGGCAGGCGCACGCAAGCCGTGAAAAGGCACTGGAAAAGGCACTGGAAAGGCGCTGGGAACAGTAAGAACTGTAGCTTCATTCGTGGCGCTGTGTTTTCGTCTTCTGCGCTCAAAAACTCTTTCACACCAACCCTTGTGTGAAAGTTGATAATGATGGTTGAACCGTTAAATGGTGCAACCGCTCCCTCTCCTTTCATGCCCTTTCCATTTGCTTTTCCTATCCTTTTGTGTCCTTTTCTTCGCTTCTCCTTACCTTCCCCTGGTCCTATATTTCAGTGGTCCCTGTGAGAAGTAGATGGCGCAACCTCTCCTCTACTCTCCTTACCCTCTCCTCTCCCTTCCTTTCCTAAATGTTTCCTTTCCCTCTCCTTTCACACCCTTTCCCCTTCCTTCCCTATCCTTCTGTTTCCTTTTATTTGCTTCTCCTTTACCTTCCCCTGGTCGTGTATTTCAGTGGTCCCTGTGAGAAGTAGGTTGCAGCCTCTCTTCTACTCTCCTTACCCTCTCCTCTTATGCAAAAGCGTGACAACATCAGTTGCCATTGCGGACCAGAGATCAGCCTATATGCCCAAAGAGAGGTGTGCAATATTCAAATCCTGCGCGAACAAATGTGGCAAAATTGAATACTGCACAGTACTGTGACGCGCTTATTGAAGCGATGTTTGACTAGAGCAACCCCATTCCACCAGCTTGAACTTGATATGGGCCGAGGATGGTGGGGCATAGAGCAACCGCCGTCCCCCAAGGCTTGAACTCGAAGCTGGTAATGGGCGAGGATGGCGGGGCGCGATCAAGTGTTACAGTACAGCATTTATGGCTCAAATCAATGTCTCCCTGGGTTGATGAGCCATCTATTTTCTCATCAACTTTTTGCAGAATAAGGCGCAACGCCCGATTTTTTGCATTTTTTGCAGAGTAATCTCCTTGGATGGTGATCAGGGTCACCATCTAGGTAGATGGCGCATTTGTTACAGCTGTGCCATCAACTCATGTCAAGCCCCCTCAAAATGACACGCCTAGGTAGATGGCGCAATTCAAAAATCTGCGCAAAGCATTCTGGTCTGGGAGTACTTTATACAGCTACTGCACACGCGCACATATCATACATCATATCAAGTCTAACATCTTCATCCGTAGTACTCTGTGTTTTCATCTTCTGTGCTCAACAACTCTTTCACGTCGACGCGTTGCAAGCGAGGACAGCAAACGTCAGGAAAGCAAGCCAGATGAAGAGCAGTTCCAGCTACTGTTCTTACTGTTGCCATGCGCCGTGTCTGTTCCCAGCCCCTTTCCAGTGCCTTTTCACGGCTTGCGCGCGCCTGCCAGTGATTTTGCCATGTGACGCACTTTTTTGCTAAAAAGAGATAGTTCTTCTTTTTGCTTCAACAAAACTTACCAGAAGCGCATGTTTGCTGCGTGATTCTAGGTAAGGTACTTACTGTACTCTCGGACGCCTCACACACCTATATATACTGTAACAAAATGTAACAACATGCATTTAGGGACAACATGATGCAAGACGGCGCATTGAGAATCTCATCGGTGACAATAGGCACCCTTCGTTTTCAATTTCTCACGATGTCCACCGCTGTTACCATCACCCACTACCCAAGACAAATGCTCAGCCGAGAAACGCAACCAACAGCTCACGAACCAACCATGAAGCACACCAAGAGCAACCAATCAAGTAATCAGCGCCAAACAGCCAACGGAATCATTGAAGACAAGCAAACAAGCAACCATCTCGCATTGCTCTCAATGCTGGCCACCTCTTGTCCATTCACCATTTCCTGGTGTCCTTTCTAAGGGATCATTCAATTCCGCACGATTCTCGAGATAGACCGCTTCATTATATACACAGATTTCTTGGCGTCTGTTGACATCCTGCTGCACATGTCTATATACCCTGTTGCGTCGCTTTCCTGCCTGTCCAGTGCCTGAACCAGCCTGTGAACTCATACTGACCCTTGCCATCCTTGTCCACTCCCGAATTCTGGCGTTGAAAGGCCCAGTGCCATTTGCACACCACCTGGAAGCTTCCAGTTTTGCAAACCTGAGCCGCTCAAGCCATGGTTTCTTCATGTTATTCTCCCAAAGAGGCCCAACATTATTCCCTTTCGGGCAAGCAACACATTGGTGTGATGTCAAGGAGTCCTTACTTTGCAAGAAGGTACACTTTGCACTGGGCACCTGCAAATGATCCGCCGATGTCAATGTATCCCCTACCTAGTGCCTTGACATGAATTCTCTCTCTATCTCTCTCTCTCTATACATTCATATTTTTACTTCCGCTGCAGCAAGAGTCCCTCTTTCTTATTTGCATTAAGCGCAGTCCACGTAGTGCAGCTGCATGCTCAAGACTGGGGTGCATAATCTCCATTGCAAACGAGCCAAGTCTAGAAGCACACAAGAATCCAGAAGATCGCAACAACCCGGACGCAAATTCATCACGTGACATCTCAAGACTTGTCAAGACCCTCAAGGTCTGAAGCACATCCAAGATCTCAAGGTCTGTCATGGCGTCCTCTACGGCGCCTTCGAGGTCAGCTGGGTCGAACTCCTCGCAGCGAGCTCTCACCACGCCGTAACGCCCATCTTGCAGCCACATTGAACTTCTTGCATTGTTCGGCGTCCAACGACGCCATCCACCAGCTCATCTCCCTCTTGAACTGCCTCCATTCAGAGGGATTGCCAAACCATGTAGGCACCCTGTACCAGGAAGAGGTGCCTGACTCTTCGGCCGATGCCATCTCGCGGCCAAAATGGCCAAAAACAAAAGCGAAGCTGTCGAGGAAAAGGTCGAGCTCCACAGGTTCGAAGCTCTCAGGTCAAATGCAAAAAGGAGTGTCAGGCAGTGTCAGGTTGACCTCAAACAGACGGCTTCACTTGCACGGCGGCCTATGTAAAGAGGTGGAAGCCAAAAGGACAAAGTGAAAGAGGAGAACCTAGTTGTTCTCAAAGTGAAGGTCACGTCCACTTCTTGCGCGGCGGCAAAGGAGAGGACACAAAGGTGGGCCAAAGGTTTCACCTGAAGGCCACTATGTCAAAGCGGAGGAAAAGGCCAAGGCAAAGAGCGGCAAGCGAAGTGCACAGCAGAAATGCCAAGGATCTTGAGGCTCCGCTACCACTGTGGAAGCAAAAGGCGGATGCTTTCGAGCGCAATCAGTTTTCCTCAGGCGCAGCCGTAAATGGCGTAAGGCCTTTAGCCGAAAGGATTCCGGCACAGTCGCTCATGCCTGACCGTCCGACACTGAAGCAGAGTTCAAGCTTTTACAAATAGAAAGGAGCCCAAAAAATAGCGATGAAAATACAAGGAAAGGAAAGGAGATGAATACGGCTTGAGGAAACAGCGAATCTACCATTGCGACCGACTTGATGAAGTTACCAAGAACAAGGTAAGCGCAATTTACTTCTCTCCTTGCAGAAGTTTTGGAAACGTTGAAACAATGACATAATTGTATAACCAAAGAAAGGGCGAACAAACAAGTTAAGGTATCAGAATGCACATATGTTTAGGGAAATTGCTCTGACTGTCAAGTACGGACGAGTTACGTGAGTGCCGTGTGTGCTTGACGAGGGCTCCTCACGCAAAATGTGATCGCACTCTGCTCTCCTTCATACGGCCTGAGAAAACCTTACAAAAGCTAACAAGAGTGGTCTTAGATTCATCAGTCGTGAGGACTCCTTGTTGGACTCCTGGGCCTGGACCGGCTCACAGGGTCCAACTCCCATCTCACGCAGGTTATGCTTGAAATGTTTCCTGTTCGAGACTTGTCTTGAAGGCATGATAAGTGACTTGTCAAAACAGTCAGCCAGTCAGGCTGTCTCAGGCTCTGGCTCGCGCCGGGTCCTGAAAGTTATCACACTTTCTCTGAGCTCTTCGGACTGAGTCTCATACAGAAATGGTCTCAATGGTCTGGTCGGAAACTATCTTGGAAGGCTGCAGCTCTCTACTGACTCTGCGTTTATTTACATCCTCCTCCCTTAAACAATGGAAACAGTGAAAAAAAGACTGGGGAGAAAAAGAGACTGGACAAATTCAACTACAAAGGACACAAAAACAAGTCAACAAACAAATAGGAGACGCGACGGAAGCGAAGAAAATCTGTCTAAAATCAACAAAGCCTGAGCTTCATAGCGATTTTCTGATCTTGTGGATATTCAAAGTTCCTTGGAAGAGACGATCAAGCAAACAGTATCAAGCTCAAGGTGCTGTTGCAGCCTTGAGTGTAAAGGAAATCAACAGTAAGGTGAACATAAAGGAAGAAAACAACAAATATCAATATATTGTATTTTCTCTGCCTGCCTGGCCTAGTCTTCGATAACAGTCGGTGCTTCTCCAAAAGGGCTGTCATGTCTGTCAAGCGCTACAAGTCCGTTGATCGAAACGAGCTAGAGGCTATCATTGCCGTTTCATGCTGCTTCAACAAGCATGCTCTCCCTGCCTTCAAAGAGGTCCGATGCATTTTCTGCTGCTGGTTCAATAGGATCACGTTTAGAACTGCCAGGTAGAAACTGTCTTGCAGAAAACTTTGAGAGTCAAAGATGCTTACTTTGCTTCGTGGCCTTTTGGACTTGCTCTGCTTGCTGGAGTCCTCCTGCAAAACTGAGGACACCCAGTTGAGCTTCTTACAAGTCCTGTTCTGTGATACAGTGATATACCGGATTCAATGCGCCATAGTGGGATACCAGACATCTGTTGAAGCAGGTCTGGTACCACTACTACAGGGCCTTCTTGGTCTTTGCGGTCTCGTCACTGTCAAGTTTTAAAGGCTGGACATCCGAAAGGGGCACCTGGCAACAGGCATCCCGTCTCGTTGGTAAAAACAAGTGAATTGGGGAAGTGCTCAAGCAATCCCAATTCGAATCCAAGTCATTGTCAACCAACTTCAATCTTGGTAACAGTTGCGCATTTTTTGCAATTTTCTCTGTACTCGCTCTAATGTTGCCAGCAGCACAGCGGGCTCGAAGGGAGTGCCCTTAATAAACTGCTTCAATGTTGGGTCCGCGTATGCTGTGTAGACCTGAGCACCGAGTAAACAGAAACCCCGGGAATACCGTGTTATGTTGAAATTTGCACGACTTGATTAACTGGAGACATCGGCCTTGATATCCTCCTCTTCTTTGGGAGTCAACGGTCTTTTCTCTACTTGGCTCTCTGGCTTCTCTTTTTTCATCTCCTCAAAATATGCGTTGGACAAAACCACCATGGCAACACGCAAAACATACAAAAATATTAACAGTAACGTGCGGCACAAACACCTAGCGCCAAGACCGAACAGCATAGTCTATATATAGATATATTCTATTTTTTGCGCGTGTGTGTGTGTGTAGTGACAGGGAGCCTTATGGTCTTTAAGCTAGGGGCGTGAGGGTTAATTTCCGAGTCACGCCAACAAAGCTGTCGAAGTCAGCTGGAAGGAAATTGGACGCAAACTTCCGTACGTGCTTCAATTTAATGTGGGCTCACTTGTGCTACTTGTGCTTTTGCACATTTGTGTACATGTTCAAATGCAACTATATGCAACTCCTGTCAGGAAAGGTTTATTTCGTGGATCAGAAAGAGTGATCAGTCGGCTTGACCTGGCAGAACATCAGCCATTTGCTTTGTGCACAGTTTGCCTGCACATTGAACTAACAGTTCAAAAGGAGAGATGCTTACCAGCGTACCATGGCTGATGTTTCTCGACAGGCTGGTTGTACTCAGGCCCGCTTTTTTCACCTAGGCTTGCGAGTGGCATTAGGCTATCAGTTCGCACGTCTTATATCTCGAGTCTGTGCGCGTGCTCTCGCGCCAGCCTGGAGTGAGGCCGAAGAGTGCTCTCCGTGGCCGTGTTGAGCAGGCGTTCGTCTCCCTCTCCCTGCCGGAGAGGAAGGTGCTCGCAGCGAACGTAGGAGCTTAAGGCTAACGTCGATGAGGACGATTAGGATTTGAGGCCTTGGATTTCGGATTTCATGGAGGAGGGCGTAGCACAAGGTGGTTGCAGCGACCGTACGTTCACTTGAGATCATTGGATCTCAGTTTGGGCCTTAACTTAACTGCGTCCGTGGCGTACACACGGCCTTAGCTAGGCAAGGCGCCCCAGGCTTTAACAATGAGGTCTGCGTGTTTTTGCTTGGTTTGTCCGATTTTGTCCGTTTCACTTAGTGTCCTTTTTCATCGCAACTACACACCGTTCCTCCTTTTCTTTCATGTCCTTTCCGTCTTCAAGTCTTGCATCCCTTTTTCTTCTCTTGTGCGCACATTTGCTCCGACCTTGGTGTGCACGCGCACACTTATACAAGCAAACCAGGCTTTCAGTGGCCTCCGGTTTCGTAAAATGAGACGTGGCTCGCTGGTTGTTCCTGTTCACCTGGGTTTTCTTCATTTCCACTCGACACACCTAGGTCCTAGGTCCCTTTCATGTCCTTTTTCTACAGTCTTGTCATTCTTTCTTGTCCGTCCTTTTCCTTTCTCCTTTCCTCTTCTTTCCTTTCCCTCTTCCTCTTCTGGTTGCGTTGACTCAAGCTGTTGGTTGGATGACAATGTAAACACTTCCTTTTCTCCAACCTACTTGCGACGGCCTCCAACCTACATTGTGCTGACCTCCAACCTACGAGCGCCGGCCTCCAACCTTCGCGCGATGGATTACCTGAAAAGTATACTTTGTGCATACGCTTTGTCTTGTATGTGTGCGGTAAACCGCTTTGTCTTGAATGAGTGAAACTTTTGGGGCTGTCTTGTCTACTAACCTATACTGACGATGGCCTCCCACCTAGTTGGGCCGTCCAGCCTAGTTGCGATGACCTGCTACTTATAAGAGCAATGGCCTCCAACCTACCTACTACCTGTCCTGGCTTCTTAGGCTTTTGCGTCCGTACACAAAGTCTCACGCGTGTCTGACCCCAGCGTCAGCCCAGGGTGAGCCCGAAGACTGCCCCCTGTGGACCCATCGAACGGGGTTTTTTCCAACGTATCCCCTGCCCAGATACAGAGCAGCTTGCAGCGAGCGTAGGAGGCTTACGCCAGAGTTATTTAGACTTGATGAATTATTGCAAAGTAGGCAGCTTTCGAGCAAGCCATTCGGTGACCGCAGCGGTCTTGAGTAGGCAGCCTTCGGGCACGCCACTACGCGGTCGCAGCCACCAAAGCTATTCAATAGCTGGGCACTGCAGGGACACTCCCTGGGCGCCTGCGCAGCTGGGATGTCACCTTGAACGCATTACGGACAGTCCACGGGCGCGGCGTGCACAGCTTGGATGTCCATCTTTTTCCTTTCTCCTTTCCTCTTCTTTCCTTTCCCTCTTCCTCTTCTGGTTGCGTTGACTCAAGCTGTTGGTTGAATGACAATGTAAACACTTCCTTTTCTCCAACCTGCTTGCAACGGCCTCCAACCTATGTGTGCTGACCTCCAACCTACGAGCGCTGATGTCCAACCTTCGTGCGATAGCCTCCAAACTATTGCCTGATATGTATACATTGTGTATATGCTTTGTCTTGTATGTGTGTGGTAAACCGCTTTATCTTGAATGAGTGAAGCCTTTGGAGCTGTCTTGTCTACTAACCTACTGACGAAGGCCTCCCACCTGTTGCGACGGCCTCCAGCCTAGTTGCGATGACCTGCTACCTAAGAGCAATGGCCTCCAACCTACCTACTACCTGTCCTGGCTTCTCAGGCTTTTCACTTATGTTGGCGTGCGGCAAGCCGCATCAGCATCCGTACACATAATCTCAAGTGTGTGTGTGTGTGTGCCTTATGGTCTTTAAGCAAGAGGCGTGAGGGTTGATTTTCGAGTCACGCCAACAAAGCTGTGGAAGTCAGCTGGAAGGAAATTTGGACGCAAGCTTTGCTTTAATTTAATGTGGGTTCACTTGCGCTACTTATGCTTTTGCACATCTGTGTACATGTTCAAATGCAACTATATGCAACTCCTGTCAGTAAAGGTTTATTGAATTTTGTGGATCAGAAAGAGTGATCAGTCGGCTTGACCTGGCAGACCGTCAGCCTGCGCATTGAACTAACAATTCATGGAGAGATGCTTACAGTACCAGCTTGCCATGGCTGATGTTTCTCGACAGGCTGGTTGTACTCAGGCCTTGCGAGTGGCATGAGGCTTTCACTTCGCACGTCTTATATCTCGAGTGTGTGCGCGCGCTCTCGTGCTCGGCAATATTCTCTTGTGCCGCTGTGGGCTTTGGTTTGCAAGCCCAGCACACATATTCCCACTGGAATTGGCACGTTTGCATCACCAACTCTGTCGTTGGCTGAGCTCGGCACCTCTCTTCGCTTGTCGTGCTCTGTCACAAATTTCTGGTCGCTTTGAGAGGAGAAGAGTATTCCAACAAACTCGGAAATTAAACCAAATGTCCTTGTAAACCCCGGTGACTTTGAGCAAACGGTTTCCAGTATTGACCTTGGCAAGAGGTGTCGCACCGGCTGTCATAGCTTGACGCTCATACGTAGGTGCGACTTGGTGCTCCACCTGGACGAAAGTGAAAGTCGCCTCCACGTTTGCGAGCAACTTCTCAAAATATGTGTACTTGTGGACCTTGTGAACCTGCGGTCCAAAGTATATGTTCCTCTCGGTCTCTGAACCTTTGAATGGACATGCACAAGTAGTACAAATGCTGGATGCCCGACGAATGTGCCAGAGCCTGTCGGAACCAATCTTGTAAACCAGGAGCCAGATCGATCTGGTATCGGCTGTCCTGAAACAAAGCTGAACACCTGGGCTTGTGCTAAGTCTAAGTGGCAAAACATCTCCTTAGAAAGAAGTGGCACCATGTTCTGCCTGTAGGATTGCAGCGGTTCCACCCACCACTCCTCAGGAAAAGACAACAAGTCTCAACAATCTCAGACTAGCTGGCGGTTTGACTTCCTCACAACTAAGGCCCTGACATTCGGATTGTAATCATCCTTCAAGATCTTGTGGTGCAGCCAATTGTCGCCTGCAATTGCTCTGGCATCTTTTACTCCAAATGGAGCCTGACTCAAGCATCCTTGGGCAAGTGCAGTCCAATTTCTCCATAGGTGGGTGCTTTGCAGGCTGATAAAGTCCAAGAAAGAGGTTCAGGCATGCCTTGTGCTTTGCGCTTCAATGCAGCTTCAAGCAAAGTGTGGGACTCAGAAATGTACTGAATGAGTAGTTCATCAGCCAGCAAAGGACGCAGGTTATCAGTGCCCTTCCCGTGCAACAGGCCTGCTTTTCTCTGTCTGTGAAGGAGTTGTTGTAGTGACGATGAATTGATGTCAAAAGCCTCGAGCATTGATTTCGCCAAAACTTTGGAGACCTTAAGTCTCCCTAAAAATCTAGGAACCAAGTGAATAGTGCGAACGCTTCTTCAAGGAAGCTCCCCACCGCTGTTTTTAGCTCTCAGTTCCAAGCTCTTGAGAAGGTTGCCACATGCGCGGCCGGCTGCCCAAGAGCTGGCACCATAATTCATGACTAACTTATTCTTGTTATATGTCTGCAAACAAGAAGTAATATTATCTACTAATATAGATTATATGCATTATATGTTTTTGCATGTAAAATAGTACATGTCTGTGGTCAAGATCCAACCCCACTTCACAGCCAGGCAAGTGGTACATGTTCTAGCACGCTCATCTATTTCCATCAATATCATTGTGTGGGTACGAGTGGGTTGGTTGGCCAGCAGCGCATTACACTGAAACTACTTAAATTCTTTGTGGAATGATGTTGTCACGTTGGCCGAGGGCCTGCATTTAGCTCTCTTCCTGGTTGCTAAAAGAGGGTGAGCCCTTCTAATAAGCTTCTGACTTGCTCGTTTCGATAAAGCTGGCAGGGCATTGTCTTTCGCAGTGCAAGTTCCTGTGTGCATCAAGGTGCTGTTGGGCTGCCTGGGCCTAAAGGTGACCAATGCCACACCCACAGCCCCGAAATGCCCCCATCAAAGCCATCACGGATCATGCCTGTGTACTTTATTTAGGTAGGTTTTGTGATGTTCCCAGTTTTGTGTCCAAAGTGGTGTTAAATTTCATCACACTGCTTGGTGTTCGAATTCAACACACTTGCATAAATGTGCGCTCTGGTCGGATGCTTCCAATCGAGCAGTGTGGATATGCAGCTATGCACCATGCCGGCACTTCATAAATATTGTATGGTTTTGCCATATAAACCAGCCTATCCATGGACTGTCAGCATGAAAACTTCTCACGACCTACCAGTCTGGTTGGTGTTTCTGCATTGATGAACAAGGATGCTGGACAATTGTGACAAACATGATTCTAGAATTTTCTAAATACGTTTGATTGCGATGTGTCATTGCTGGACTGATGAACAACTCTGCAGCTCTGTGCCTGATACTTCTTGTGAGCGACGGAACCAGCATACCTTGGAACTTGGAAACCAAAAATAGAGCAAGTTCATTTGACCAACCTAATAGCGATGGCCTCCAACATAAGGACGATGGCCTCCAACCTAAGAATGATGGCCTCCAACCCAATAGCGATGGCCTCCTAATACAGTACATTGTGCTAAACAATGGCACGCACCTATCACAATTGTCTTTAATGTGGATTGTGGATCCTCTGCAAAAATAAACACGAAAAAACAATTGAAACAGTGACGCCTGACCAGGCTGTCTGAAATCCTGAAGTAAGCCCACTATCCCACATGCAATACGTTCATTGTCTCATGAGTGCTTGTCAATTTGGATAGATCCGAATACTATTGCAATTTGTCATGTGATTCCCAAACATTGCCAATGATAGCAGTGTTCAATCTTGGACAAATCGACCAGCGCGCATTCTGCAAGCTTTATGAGCAATGCTCTTTCTGCACTACTGTCTCAATGTTCCAACATCCCAAGGGACTGCAAGGCCAAATGATCTCCCATCACATCATAAAGTTCGCTGAGAACCAGCACCGCCTCTCAAATCTCAGAAGCATGCATGTGGCATTCAAAACATTCCCTACAATAGCAAAGGCTTTTCTGTTTGAAGAAGCGTTGTGCAAAAAACCATCAAAAACCAAACGAGTGCCGGAGGACATACCGAACAGTGAGCAAAAGCAAAATCGAGTCGAATCGAGTTGAACAGGCCATGGCTATTAACTTAATAGGAATAGCCTCCAACCTACTAGGGCCCCCAACCTATTGGTTTAAGTTGAATAGGTATCTGGCATGATCTGGCCATGTAATGACAATTTAGTCCCTGCCTGACATTCAAAGTCCATCTTCGGCTCCGGCAGCCAGCTCATCGCCTCGACAAACATGGGTACCAAATACACAGGACTAACATGTCAAACACGGCACAGCATGCACTTTAAGGTGGGGTTGCAGAAATCATTGCAAATATCAGTGTTTTTTTGTGTCTTCAAAGCACACTCTACAGAGCAGTGTTTTGTGCGTTGTGACTCCGAACATATGATCGAGTCATTCACATGTTTTGGGCCTCTGGAGGTGCCAAAAGTGTGAAGAAAGAGGAAACAAAGAAGGGACAGGGACATGGAATCAACAAATTACATTGTTGAACAAGATGGAGCCCACGAACCCGAATGCAAACACGTTCAAAAAGCTACATATGTCCAAATGACACTCTTGTAGGACACTCTTGTGGGACACTCTTGTGGGTCACTCTTGTAGGAAACTATTGTGGGACACTCTTACGGGACACTCTTGTGGGACACTCTTGTGGGACACTCTTGTGGGACACTCTTGCAGGACACTCTTGTGGGACACCCTTGTGGGACACTCTTGTAGGACACTCTTGTGGGATACTCCTGTAGGACACTCTTGTGGGACACTGTTGCGGGACACTCTTGTGGGACACTCTTAAGGGACACTCTTGTGAGACACTCTTGCGGGACACTGTGGGACACTCTTGCAGGACACTCTTGTGGGACACTCTTGTAGGACACTCTTGTGGGACACTCTTACGGGACACTCTTGTTGCACACTCTTGTAGGACACTCTTGTGGGTCACTCTTATGGGACACTCTTGTCGGACACTCTTGTGGGACACACTTGTGGGACACTCTTGTGGGACACTCTTGTGGGACACTCATACAGGACACTCTTGTGGGACACTGTTGTGGGACACTCTTGTAGGAGACTCTTGTGGGACACTCTCGTGGGACACTCTCGTGGGGCACTCTTGTTGGAAACTCTTGTGGGGTACTCTTGTAGGACACTCTTGTGGGACACTCTTGTAGGACACTCTTGTGGGACACTCCTGTAGGGCACACTCTTCGTACGAGACTTCCTCCAAAAGTCACGCGCCAAGTCTCAAAAACGAGCGTTTCGTACGAGACTTCCTCCAAAAGTCACACGTCAAGTCTCCAAAACGAGCGTTTCGTACGAGACTTCCTCCAAAAGCCACATGTCAAGTCCCCAAAACGAGCGTTTTGTATAAGACTTCCTCAAAAACTCACATGTCAAAGTCTGCAAAATGAACGTTTCGCGCGAGACTTCCTCCAAAAGTCCAGCGGAAACACCCATCGGAGCACACACATCACGCAGCCCTGCCAAGCAGTTTCGCGATTCCAGCCCCTCCAAACGACACCCGCTCACACGCCAATCCCAATGTGACAGCGACATTCACCTCTACCACAACCCACAACCTCCCGATTCCCTGCGCCTGCCACGAATCTTTCCGCGTCCACATGTCTAACGCGCGCAAAGTACTGCGCCTGCCACGACATGTCACCTCCGTCACACCTCGCAACCTCACGATTCCCTGCGCCTGCCACAAGACTCGCACTTCCACACCTCAAAAGCCACACCAAGTACTGCGCCTGCCACGAAAAGTGACAATATCATCTCATGTGAGCTTCAACAAAATTTTTTGCACCACACCACACGTTTGCAATGATTTCGACCCGTTCTGAGCACACTCCCATCCACCAAAATCGGCATTTCAGCTGAGACTTACCACGAAAACAGCGCTTCGATGCCACACCCTGCAACGCAAATCCCAATGGCGCGGCCACATCCAACACCCCAAAAACACGATTCTCCAAACGCTAATCCCAATGGAACTACGCAGCACTCTGCAGATCTCACAAAACGCTGCGCCTGCGCAGCGAAACGCATCACGTTTCTTGCGCCGCATCTCATTTTCCTGCAAATCACAATGGAATAGCGGCGCAAACTGACACGTGACACATCCATGAAAAGTCACTTGCAAAAGCTTCCCCCAATGGCAGCGCCTTAGCGTCCTACTGCGGACGGTTGCGAACGGTTGCGGACGGTTGCGAACGGTTGCGGACGGTTGCGAACATAAGCAACGGGTCGCGAACAAGGCTCTACCCCCAGACCCCCAAGAGTTAAACGAGAACCCTTCGCTACGCATTCGGGAATAAAACGCATGTTGTTTTGTTGGTCGTGTTGTTGTCAAATGGTGAGGCCGTTTTTGCGCTAGGACGGATAAGCCGTGAGGGTCAAGGACAATGTAGAATCTGCGCCTGCCTGATTTGGAAATTTCGATTCAGAAACCAGACCGAGATATGAGATACGGTGAAGAATAGTTTTTGATAGAATGATCATTCATCGCATCTTTCAGGGCCTCATCGCTAGGTGATTTCCTTGAAAATGATGAACAAACATCTGCACAACCTGTCAGAGCTGCAGATCGCTGCCCCACTGTCAGGGCTGCGCGAGGACACGTTGAGTTCTCAGTTTGTTAGTCTGCAACCGATGGGAAAGGAATGAACACCTGAAGGCTTGTGACCGTGGGGAAGGAAATTGCTTCTTTTTGTTATTGCGAGGTTGTGCAATGAACATGTTAAGGCTTGTGACCGTTGGGAAAGGAATTGGAAATTGTTTTACTGCGAGGTTTATGAACACGTTGAGGCTTGTGACCTTTGGGAAAGGAATTGGAACATATTTTTCTTCGTGGGTTGTGCAACGAACACGTGAAGGCTTGTGACCGGTGGACAAGGAATTGGAAGTTCTTTCACTGCAAGGGTGGTGCAATGAACACGTTAACACTTGTGACTGTTGGGAAAGGAATTGGAGAATCTTTTACTGCAAGGGTTGTGCAATGAAAACGTTAAGACTTAGTTAGCTAGCCTGTGACGGTTGGGACAGGAATTGGAGATTCTTTCACTGCGAGGATGCAATGAAAACGTTAAGGTTTCAGTTTGTTCGTCTGTGACCGTCGGAAAAGGGAGTGGAGGTTCTTGAACTAAGAGGATTGTGCACTTTCACTGCGAGGATGATGCACTGAAAACGTTAAGGTACCAGGATTGTGCAATGAAACCGTTGAGGTTTCCGTTAGTTAGTTTGTGACCGTTGGGCAAGGAATTGGACATTCTTTTACTGCCAGGATTG